ATATGGATAATGCCTGATGGGTACATAATATAATATTATATGAATATGACATAATAATAATATAATTTACAAGTAAGAATTTGTTTTAAGTATCACATACAAGAACGAAGAGAATTTATTTGTTTTAGTTCCAAATAATTATTTATAAACACATATATATATATATTTTTGTTAATATATTTAAAACAAAAAATCGTTTTGAAAGGAAATTAAAACATTATGGAAGGGTTTATACGTAAATTAAAACAGTGAACCTTACTCAACTTACTCCATATGACCATATATGTATATTATAACATTTAATTACATTTAAAGTCTAAAAAAATTAGTAAAAAAAAGTAATAAGTGATGTCGGAAACGAATCAGCAAACCTAATTTAAAATAGCTCGATACTGCATAATAATGATGTATTATTATTTTCTTATAATTTGAAAGTGAAAATTATCAATTGAGAAAAAATAATGCTGAGCACTCTTAAAAATGTCTTAAAGATTTTGTTACAGACAGTGCTTTGTTTTTACAGTTATTTTTATAAATTTTTTCAATTTTCACATAAATTGACGGGGAATGTAAAAAATGAACTCCTACTTCCATGTTCAATTTCCAATCTTTAAAGAAACTACATGAGATATTTTTAGATTTTTTCACTGTCTCGAAAAGTGTTTACTGAATGGAAAAAACGCGCATCGATAATAATATCAAACATCCTACATCTCACTCTGCTCGAAATATTCAATGTTTGGAAACGTGAATGTGATTATAATATATTTTACTAACTTTCCAAATCTAATATTTTAAAATGTTTAATAAAAATAGCTACACCATCCAAAACATTAAAATATGGTCCATGRATCTGAAATTGTACCTATAATAAGAATTTTGAGAGGCTATTAACCAGTTTGACCGGAACGGTAATTTATTAGCTATGGGAGAAACGTTCAAAATAGAATGTAATTAAGTTTTTATGTGTAAATACGAAAAGGAAAAATCATGGTATTTTCGATTAGTTTTGTGAAAAATAAACACCGTAGAATACTGTRGGTAGTGCAAGTTTGTTCGCAACAGTTTATTTAATTTCCTATCCGCCACCTCACTCTTTTAATGATAATTTGTTTTGCAAACCAGCAAACCAATTATCATAATAATTCCTATTTCCTTTACTTCATTGCAATTTCCGTTCACTAGTTCCTCGGTGGTAAAAACGATTATTTATAAAGATGTTTCATCTAATTTATATATAAATATGTACAATATATTACTAATAGTAATTTAGTGGCTGTCTTCTTGGGCATCTTGTGCAGAAAAATAATACCCCCAAACAATTATTCAATAATATATCTTATTGTTTTATGATAATAGAGTGTAGAGCATTTTCTGCGAATGACCAAATATACGTCGTAAGTAATGTTTTTAAATTATTTTAGCTAGCAAATATTTTTTCAATATTATGCTTTTCAATGTAGGTGCCGAATACCGATATCATTATAATAATATGTAGGCAATACATATAATTATTTTTTAATAATAACAATTAATGACATATAGACGTATTCGTCTTACCCGTCAACATAATTATCTTACGGCAATTAGTTACATAGAAATATCGGTGTCGACAGTTTGCGTTGTTGTAATAATATTCAGCGAGTAAAAAAGTAATTATACATGTTATGTATAATATCTATTTATATTTATTAATATTYCAACACACGTCGACGTGGATTTTTAATATTGAATAAATCTGATATTCATCGTAGTTCACCGCGGTGTAGGCACCTGCACTGAAATACTCAAATTTAGTCGAACACAGTTTTGTGAAATCTGCCAAACCGGTAATGTATTTCAAAACGACCGTATTAAATGTTATACATTTATAACGATCGTGTAGTTTTCGTTTTCTTATTTAGAAGTTAGAACCTACTACGTTTTTATTTTTTGTTTTTGCAGTTATTAATATCATTATTTCTATTTATCCGCGATCTCTAAGAAGTTTTTGTAGAATTGTTATAATTTACGGTTGCATATATGTATAGGAGAAAATCACGTTTTTATTTAGGTMAATTATTATTATTGAAGTACGTTTTCTCGAATTGAAATCATCTATTATTTTTATATCATATCCGCGTAGTACTTCTGCAGATGTTTTATGTCTATATATAAAAACGAGCCTAACGATTCCCCATCATTATTATACTGGAACTCCAACAGAATGGCTTATATTAAAATATTAAGTTATTAAGTTATATGTATGAAAGCTGATATCGACGCATTTTAATAAAATCAATTTGTTATATTATATTAAATCATTATAATTATAAGTTGTGCTCGCATTCGGATTGGCAAAATAGACAAATTAAATACCTATGCTTATGTTAAAATTATATCCGTATTATTATGCAAATATAATTATAACCAACACTGTGAATTTCATTCATAAAAAATATGTTAAATATTTTTAAAATGTATTTTATTTTATTAAATAAAGTAATTATTATGAAATATCAATAAATATTAAAAAGATATTCTTGAATAATTGTAAAAATAGATGAAAATATGTAATTAAATATTATTAAACTGTTCGTGAACATTTCTCCTWCGCTCTTCTCCTCTACGATATTTATATATATATATATATATAWAATATTCAATAATGTATCTGTCATAGGCTTTAAATTTCAGTTATAAAAAAAAATTGAGGTAAATATATTTCGTATACATTTTGTGCATTTTATAAATATAACGATATGCGAACGAATGTTGGCGAATGACGAGACTCAATATTTTTTATACAAAGTATCGTAAAAATCTCGCGAAAGCSCTGAATTCAATGCCTCCATTATAAGTTATTAGTGATGTCTGCGTTAGCCGTGACACTAAGTATATWAGCAGATCTTGGTTGGTATCATCGATTCTGAGTCCATATAACCGATAAGCACTGTACGTCTTAGTACATACTACTATAAGAAATAAATAAAATCGTGCAGTGTACAACCACGCAGAATATTATATCAAACGCAGAACCACCGTGCACCGCAGAGAAAAATATTGGTTATCGGTTTTTTCATTGCTCAAAAAAAGTTTGATTTCTGTTCAGCTGCTCCTGGAATGGCAATATTTAACAACGGATGGGATATCGATTTTAGTAAAATTATATAATATTAAGATCTCAAAACGGATATCGGCAAAAAAAAAGTATTATCGGCCCGAGCTTGATGATATTATTACATAAGTATAAGTATATATAGGTAGGTACACGTAGCGCGCTATATATTATTAGTAATAATTTATTACGCGTAGCACAATCACTCACCAATATTTACAATGCCGTGGTTGGTGAGCTCCCAGCACGAATGCAGCCTGAGCGCGGACAGGCTGTTGGACTGCCTGGACGAGAAGAATCCCAAGGCGGCGTCAGTGACGTGGTACGCTTGCAGTGTGAACTCGTTGAGGGCTGGCAGCATCTGAGCCACGGCGCCGACCGCATCATCGGCCACGTTTATACAATCGCTCAGGGTCAGCGACACGATTCTGGGCGTCAAGCATGCCCATAGGCCGGCCTCCGTGATCTCGTTGCACCCGACTAGCTCCAGTTGCCAAACACCCTGTATACGATTAATAATTATTATTTATTAAAATCGTAATTACGAAATTCTGACGATCACGACCATCGGATTCGGCAGAACACCATTTTTAATTATGCGTGCGGCTTAATATTACGCTACACGCAGCTAAACGACTTACGTCTATATATATATATATATATATATATATTCGATCGATATTATCGTACATGGTAGCTATATTTCATATTTTTAGATAAGTATTATTATTTCATATTATATTGTTATAATAACTATATATAGCTGTATAAACACGGAAAATCGACATCGGTTTTGAATTAGCTTATAGAAAAAACACTCTAGTCGAGTCTCAATAATGATATGTCTGCAAAATTTGACGGCTGAAATTGGTTCCAATTAAAGTTTCCTACTTTCCAAGTCTATAAACCCTCACACAAATGCATATAACTATATAAGGTTAGATTAATATATAATTTCAACCGTTTTGTCGTGAAATAACGATATTATATTGTACTGTTGTCTTACGGAAATTCGTGTAAGTCTTAAGCTTAACTATTATTCGACCCTGAAGGTGTCCGATTTGAGCGACAACGTGGTTTTATTGTTATATAGGTATACGTCCCACATCATATATCGTCTAGGTACTAGGTACTACCCACACATAATAGTAATACTAGTAATAGTAATAGTAATAGTAATAGTCATAACAATACATAGTGAAATGTAAAACGAGAAGAGTACCTATACATTATACTATTATAGTGTATAATCATAAGCGTGCGCACGGGGTAGTCAGGGTAGGCACTTGACTACTCTGCGAACAACTGAACAACTAGCCWCCCCCACCCTAATATGTTTGACCATTTCAAAATGTGCGTAAACGAACGTAAAAATAAGAATATTGGAAAAATATATGGTCTTTAGTAACTGCCATGATAAAATTAGTTATATTATGTTAATTTAGAAT